ATGCTTTTCGTTTATTTGGCAAAAAAAGGAGAATGTGTATCACTATCTCTACAAGAACTTGTGCATTTTTATCACACAAATCTTATTTACACAAAGAAATTAACTTGCATTTATGAACTGACAACTTTTGTAGCTCTTACAAAAATTCTATCTTTTAAAAGAAAAAAAGAGGAACTACACTGTCTTTTATGAATAAGTCAATATACATGAAACCTTATTGCCTATAATTAGGCTATAGAAATAGCAAAGGCCATAAACATAAAGTGAAAAGTTCAACCTCAACACAAAAAACAGTATCAACAATGCTTCTATTCCCAAAAAGTGAGGGTACCTTTTTTTCAGTTTAAATTAAAGTGCAGGATTTGGAAACATTTGACTGAAGCTCTTATCTAAACATAAAGTGCCACTGTAACGTTATATTAAAATACCATAACATGAAATCAAAAATGTCCCCACACACCGGACTTATAGACTTATAGGACGCTGGCGCATCCTCCAACTCCCTCATCTCTCCCACTTGCCATTTCTCCGCGTGCCGTGGCCTGCAGCGCTCCATACTCCACTTTTACTGGCTTGTTTACTAACTTGAACCGGCGCTGCACAGAGCGATCGGTAATGACATCAAATACCGCGAAAGTGAGTGACGGAGCCGTCGTTCCCGCTCTAGTGTGATGTTATTCACCGGTCGCTCTGTGCAGCGCCGGTCCAAGTCGAACAAGCTTATGTCGCGCGAAAAGAAAACACACGTCACATACGGGCACGAGGTTACATTGCGCATGCGTCGAACCGTGAGACGCACACACGCTCCGAACCGAGACAAGCGAACCGAACGGTTCGGGTGTTTTTTCATGTACCGTGCCACCCCTACTAAATGGTAATGTAATTTTTTGTTTATTTTTGTTTTAAGAGTTTATGTATGGAAGCTTGATTTCAATCTTTGAATTAAATTGAAAAAAGTAGCACAAATAAATACAATAGAATAAAGACACAAATTAAGAGACATTTTGGGGTAGTTTTTTGGGTATGTCAGAAATACTACAGAAACTGACTAAAGTAATCCAATGTAAAATAACACTGGATAGTCTTTTTAGTCCAGACTGAATTAAATACAAAGGCTATTAATTCTGATTGCTTACAATTAATACTATATTCTGTTGTTATGACAACAGAATTAATGACTGACACAAATGGCTGCGTTCACTTTAAGAACTAGTGCGCAAATCCATTACTGTTTCATTAACTTTCTGTCACACGCGTTTAATGCTAATTTAAGACATTACCGACTGTCTTTACGAGGTTACTCACCAAGACCAGAGTTTTGACATAATGTTGCGTGTTTTAACTGTTAAAGTGATATAATCCAGGGATAAAACTTTTGTTTCTGGCGAGCTGTTTGTGAGGCAGATTTAGGCTGTAACGTTACTGTGCACGCAGTGAAAGACATCTCTGAGAATGCGCGAGCACGGGATGGTTTAACATTGCTTGTAAAACTTAAAAAGACGTGAAAATGATAAACGTTAGTTACGATCATAGGTTACGATGCAATGCTGGCCCGATTGTTAAGTGAATATTCCGTCATGTCCCGACTCCTAAACGCGTGTGTGTATCCTGTATCGACAGCTGCAGCGCTTGGCGCTTGCCTAGTGCAGAGAGACGAGAAGATGCAGCACCGCGTCCGCGAGCCCTTTATATGGAAAAAATCGATTCGTGGCCTTTGAGAATCGATTTTGAATCGAACACATTTTAAAAAACGATTAATCGAAAAATCGATTTTTTTGCCCAGCCCTATTGTTCGTACACATTTGGTAATTCCTTAGACCACTTGTCTACTTGCTCCGGTGAATCTGGCTGGTATGTCTTACAGGGAACATATTTCTTAATAGTTTTTTTACGATGTGGGTTCGTCTTTCGCCTTCCTCCACATACTCCTCCTCATTGTCAACTTCAATTTCAGCCCTTCTTTTCTTGACAATTACAGGAGCGAGTCTAACCTTTTTGTTCTTCTTGGTGACATGAGCATATGTCTCAGGTTCAACATCACTGTTATCAGGGCTCCCAGTCGAGCTGCTGTCACTTTCTCCTAGCAGATAATGGCGTTGTTGATGCTCAAATCTTCTTGAGGTCTTTAAATGGGTAGAGTAATTCTTTCTCTCTCTTGCTGCTATATTTTATGGGTGTTTTTTGTCCAGAACAGTCTTTTAAATCCAGCTGTGTGGAAAGAAACTTCAACAGCTTGTCATTATCATTTAAGAGTCTTTCTTTGTCCTTCTTTTCCTTCTGCAATTGTTCAGCCAGTGCTCAAACCTTTGCTTTCTCTGCTTTGTACTCACGCTGTGATTTGTCTGTCTCACACTTCTGTCGATGCTGTAGAATTTGTTTTACCAAAATCACAGACAAGCCATCTCTGTTGGTGTTTGTCCTTAAGCGCTGCATCTTTCCATAAGCCCTTTTAATGTCCGGCAAGGCCCATATTCCTCTCTCTGAGTGCTTGATGCCGTACTTCTGGCATATGTCATCATGGCACTTCCTCAGTTCCAGCCTTTTGCCCAAATATGCATTCAGATTGTCCATCATCTGAGCAATGGTAACATTTGGAGATTTTGTTCCATGTATTTCTGTTGTTGGCCTCAGTGTAGGGCCATTACCATTTTTAGCGCAGACTCAGCCATAGCAAGTATAGGAGAAGTGGCCTCAAAGGTGTGGAAACAAAACAAAAAGTGTTTGAGCCGTTAAAGGTGCTTGTTCAAATTTAAATTTTCAGCAGTCTTTAGACTGACCATTTCAGTTATACAGACAAATCATAATTTTACTAACTCCTACAATCCTACATTCAAAACATTTACGTTTAGACTAAGTTTCTTTGTTTCATTTTTAGAAAAAAAACTCCTGATTGATAAGACTTGTTCAGTTCTTTCTGAGTTCTAACCTGAATTGGTTTAAATTTGTCCCTTAGACATTAGACTTTCAATCTTTCTGTATCTTTCATCGGATAAAATATTGGTTACCCAATTAGCACCAAGTCAAGAATTACCAATTCTTGCAGCAACATCAGTTACCAAACCATATACAGTTTCTGCAAGCTCTGGACGAACTGCATACTCCAGAGAAAGGACCAAACTTATACTTTATTTCAAAGGCTCCTACAGTCTCATGAGAACGGACCAAAGCTCTTTCTTAAATGATTCTTAGAGACTCAAGAGAACAGGGCCAAGCTATTTCTATAGCTCCTACAGTTTCAGGAGAATTGACTAAATCATTCAAAAGGTTCCTACAGACTCATGAAAAAGGCCCAAGCCTAAAATTAATCTTATATTGGACACTGAATTAGCACCCAGTCAAGAATTCACAATCCAGTTCTTGCAGCAACATCAGTCCCAAACATTATACTATATTGCATTGGCTCCTACAATCCTCCTACATTTACAGGGTTCCTACAGACGCCCACGCCTAAATTTCTCAATACACAGTATGTGTGACTACACTACAAATCTGAGACTGGATCCAGTTGATTCAAATAAATTGTATCCACAGATGCAGTCTTTCGAACTTCAGTTACTCAAACTATTCCGTTTACTTCTTGTTGCAGTTGGTGAGTTCTCTTCTTGTCGGTCTCTCCTGGCTGGCTCGCCAAATTGTTAGATTTTGGTGTATTTGGCCGAGCAGTGGTTTGAGTGGCTCGCCAATGTATTAGATTTCTCCAATACATAAAGTATGTGAGCTTGACCAGAGTTCTTGTGGGGAGAAGAATTTATTGAAGGTTTGTAGTGTACCAGTCCTTCAGCAGTGATGTCCGCATGTTCCCCTCCAACAATAATAACCCAAAGTTCTGTCTGTGAGACAGAACTTTATACATGAAGACATAGCCTATGGGCTACAAACAATAGAAACCTGTTAGGACCTCCCACAGGAGATCGATCTAACTTGTTAATCCACTCTGAGCAATGATGATTCTTTGTCATTCACACTTATCAGTTTCTGTGGGCCATACATCTGAATGGGCCATTTGACACACACCTTTGGAGACACAGAACGAGTGGATTACATCTGACACATAGTAAATGCATCTGACCAAAGTTAACTGAAAATACACATAATCTTTCACTAGGCTAACGTAAGGTTACAGTAAATCCATGATAAATTGATTCAGTATCAATTCAGATTCTGACTGGATCGTTGCGCAGTGTTTCTCTTGTTAGACAGCGCTGTTTCGTCTGTCTTTAAACTGGTTTAAATTGGACATTTGTGTTCTTTGCTGAATTCAGGCGCTTCTCACTGGATGGAGTCGTGAGCGAGGCCGATCAGAGTAAACGCACATCTGCTCTTGAGAGACATGATCAGAAAAATCTAAGTTGCGCCATATGGTCTCATTGACAAATGCGAAACAATTAGTTTGTGCGTTCATGACCTCAAGGCTAGATTATTGTAATGCTCTACTGGGTGGTTGCCCTGCTGGCTTGATTAAGCTGTATGCTCCGTCAAGGGCCTCAAAGTTGGTGTCAAAAGATGGCAGTATTGTTTATGTTAATTAGTGTTAATATCATGTTAGATAATTGTGTCATTAATCAAATATATTTAGTAGTTCTTGCTAAAGAAACATGTGCCTATAATGTTTTAAAAAATAATAATTGGAAGATGCATTTTCCTTATTTATGGAAAGTTTCAATGAAACGTAATCGATTTATAAAAAGCCATGAAATTATCAAAATATTTTATAGCAGTTGTCTACTTTCTACATTACATCAGGCCTCACTTGCATGTCCTTTCACTTTATATTTCTTTCTTTGAATTATTTTGATGTACTAAAAATCAAAAGTACTATTTTTTTCAGACCTGATGGAGGAGTGTGAAGAACTGAGTGAAGTGGAGGAGGAACATCATGTCCAACCTGGAGAGAAACCCTTGAGTCGCTCAAAGACTAAACAAACATTTTTAAAGAAAAGACGAGCCAAGAAATCTTTCACCTGCACTCAGTGTAGGAAGAGTCTCACAACCAAACAAAGTCTTGAGATTCACATGAGGATCCACACCGGAGAGAAGCCGTTCTCATGTGATCAATGCGGGAAGAGTTTCAGTCAATTAGCAAACCTTAATCTTCACATGAGGATCCACACCGGAGAGAAGCCGTTCTCATGTGATCAGTGTGGGAAGAGTTTCAGTCAATCGTCACACCTTAATGTTCACATGAAGATCCACACTGGAGTGAAGTCGTTCTCATGTGATCAATGCGGAAAAACATTTCTTAGGTCATCAGACCTGAAGACACACCTGATGGTTCATACGAAGGAGAAGCCGCATTCATGTTCTGTGTGTGGAAAGAGTTTTTCACTACTGCAACATTTACATAGACATAAGAAAACTCACTCTGGTGTGAGAGACTACATGTGCTTTAAGTGTGAGAAGACTTTTACTACAGCGGGCAATTTAAAACTGCACCAGAGGATTCACACTGGAGAAAAACCTTACAAGTGTTCACACTGTGATGAGAGATTCAGTCACTCATCATCTGTGAAAACACATGAGAGGATCCACAATGGAGAAAAACCTTACATGTGTTTACACTGCGACAAGAGATTCAGTCAATCATCAAATCTGAAAACACATGAGAGGATCCACACTGGAGAGAAGCCGCACACTTGTGATCAGTGCGGGAAGAGATTCATTGACTCATCATCCCTTAAAAATCACATGATAATGCACACCGGAGAGAAGACGTTCTCATGTGATCAATGTGGCAAAACATTTCTTAGGGCATCAAACCTGAAGGTACACCTGACAGTTCATACGAAGGAGAAGCCGTATTCATGTTCTGTGTGTGGAAAGAGTTTTTCACTGCTGCAAACTTTACACGGACATCAGAAAATTCACACTGGTGTGAGAGAGTACATGTGCTTTGAGTGTGAGAAGACTTTTACTAGAGCGGACAGTTTAAAACTGCACCAGAGAATTCACACTGGAGAAAAACCTTACAAGTGTTCACACTGCGACAAGAGATTCAGTCAATCATCATCTCTGAAAACACATGAGAGGATCCACACTAAAGAGAAAGCTTACATGTGTTTCCACTGCGACAAGAGATTCAGTAGTTCTTCATCTCTGAAAAAACATGAGATGATCCACACTGGGGAAAAACCTTTCAAGTGTTCACACTGTGACAAGAGATTCAGTCACTCATCATATCTGAAAATACATGAGAGGATCCACACTGGAGAAAAACCTTACAAGTGTTCACACTGTAAAAAGAGATTCAGTCAATTAACACATCTAAAAACACATGAGAGGATCCACACTGGAAAAAAACCTTACAAGTGTTCACACTGCGACAAGAGATTCAGTGACTCAGGAACTCTGAAAACACATGAGATGATCCACACTGGAGAAAAACCTTACAAGTGTTCACACTGTAAAAAGAGATTCAGTCAATTAGCAAATCTGAAAAGACATGAGAGGATTCACACTGGAGAGAAGCCGCACACGTGTGATCAGTGCGGTTCGAGTTTCTCTATTAAAAGTCACCTAAAGCTACACATGAAGATCCATACAATGGAGAAACCACTTAAACACAGTCTGAGATCACGGTAAGTAGTTTACATTCATGTGCTGAGCAACAAAGTCTCTTCTGTGTAAGTTAGATCACACATCACCCTATAGCCAAATCTCTCCTCTCCACCTATAGCCGGTGTGTGGTGAGCACAGGACACTTGGTTGATTGATTGATATCTATTAACTTGCTCAACCAACAGGAATGTCTAATTTGTCAGTTCAGGTCAATGCAAAATGCTGACAGTAGTTGGCGCTTATGTAAAGCAGAAATGCTTTCTGTCACTTTTATTGTCCCAATTTACATTTAAGTCTCCCATTAGAACATCCTCATTATTAAAGTCACTAACACTCAGAAGTGCCTTAAATTGATCAAAAAAAATCTACTTTTGCTGAAGGCGGACGATAAAGACATAAAACAGTAAATGACATTTCTGCTGAGAGTGACGCTTTAACTCCAACACATTCAATTGTGATTTCATTAGGCCAAATTATTTGGGTACATTTTAAAGAGTCCTTCATATACAATAACACCCCTCCCCGCTTACCTTGATGCATATCCTTTCTAAAGACATTGTAGCCTTGTAATGATACCACTTTTTGTGGAGAAGAGGGTTAAAGCCAGGTTTCTGAAAGTCCCAAGAAATCTACATATAAGTTAATAGCCGTGTTTCCTGGGCTAACGCCGAGCCGAGCGAGTGGCCTCGGGCCTCAAGCACCGGGCTTGCGTTTCCACTGCCGGGCCAGTAGCCCCACAGCGCTGCCCTAAACCCCGCCTCTAACACGCCTTTCTGGATCAAACGTCATACAACCCAACCCATTTCAGCAGGTATTATGAATTTATTTATTTTTAAGTTAGGAAGATTGCATGTATATTAAAGGGTTAGTTCACCCAAAAATGAAAAATTGAAAAATTAAAAAAAAATGTAGAATGAAAATTATGTCATTAATGACTCGCCCTCATGTCGTCCCAAGCCCTTAAAACCTCCGTTCGTCTAAGGAACACAGTTTAAGATATTTTACATATAGTCAGAGAGCTTTCTGTCCCTCCATTGTAAATCTATGTACGGTATACTGTCCTTGTCCAGAAAGGCAATAAAGACATCATCAGAGTAGTCCATGTGACCCCAGTGGGTTAGTTCGAATTTTTTGAAGCATGGAAAATACATTTTGTTCCAAAAATAACAAAAACGACAACGTTATTCAGTATTGTATTCTCTTCTGGTTCTGTTGTCAATCCGTGTTAACAAGTCCAGTGACACTGCTGACGTGTAATCTGGTGTGTCCGTGTATTCGTCTTTACTCCCTCAGACTGTAAACGAAGCTCGGGCGCACCAGATAACACGTCAGCTCGTCTTGCGTCAGCGGAATCGTGAACACGGATTGACACCAGAACCGGAAGAGTATACAATGCTGAATAAAGTTGTCGTTTTTGTTATTTTTGGAACAAAAGTATACCGTACATAGATTTTCAATGGAGGGACAGAAAGCTCTCGGACTAAATCGAAAATATCTTAAACTGTGTTCCGAAGATGAACGGAGGTCTGACGGGCTTGGGATGACATGAGGGTGAGTCGTTAATGACATAATTTTCATTTTTGCGTGAACTAACCCTTGAACTCACCGGCCGTGGCTGCAATAGTGTCCCGATTGTCTCGCGAGTCGCCACTAACAGAGGGACGGTGACCCAGCACACCATCCATCAAGTCGAACCATGGAAAGTTCCTTCTCTGAGCTCCGCTTTGTCCATTGTGTATTTTAATCTTGAACAATACCTGCGCCCACAACCTTCAGAAACTTCAGCATCAATGTATTTTATAACGTCCTCGTTTCTTCACACGTCGTCAAAATTGACGTTGTACTCTTTTTTTTAAAGAGCTTTGGTATCTTCGACAGACCAGTACAGGCGATTCTCCATTTCCAGCAGCGATTATTTTGCGCGATATAAAAAGTGAAATGTGCATCTTGCTTCAGATCATAACTTTCCCTAACACCGATAAACTCCGCCTTTTACCTTGAGCACGCCTCTAGCCCGAGCCGGCCCGCTTTGGCCCAAGGTATTCGATGGGCCAGAAATCCTGGCCGTAAGCCCCGATCAAGCCCCGGAAGTGACAGTGGAAACGCTACCGGCCCTGGCACGCACTAACACGGCTCAGCCCTGGCCCGGCAGTGGAAACGCGGCTTATAAGAAGATGCTCCAATTGTTCCCTCTTAGGGGCCATACTGTGTCTGTTCAGATGGCCACCTAAGAGCCCTTTGTTTTTACACTGTGGATCCCATAAAGTCCTGGCTTGAGACCACCACAGACACTAGAGATCTTGTTCCTGTAGGACATTAATAAAGACACGGGAACCCCGCATCTCAAATCATGTACTACAGTTTCCTGATAGTCTACTGATTTTATTTGGTCACTTCATATCCACCACACTCTTTTCTTATTTTTTGTTTTATTTTGTTTATTTTTTTCTACACCTTGTCGCAGTCATTATGTGAACAGGGATATATTTTTTTTCATGCTATTTTTCATGTTACGTTATTATATCCTGAGCAATCATCTAATTATTCAATCAAAATATGCCATCTCTGTTGTAATCAGATATCGAATTATGTGTAATACTATGATGCCAAAGAACTTAACTACTACATGTTGATACTCCCTTAAAAGCTGTAACCTTTGTGTACTTGGTTTGCAGATGATAAGGAACAGACCACCAGAGACACTAGAGATCTTGTGCCTTTGGGACATTAACAGCAGAGAGTTGAAGATGCCATGAGGAGGAACAGACCACCACAGACACTAGATCTTGTTCGGCTTGCCAAATATATAATAACTATGTAATATAATAACTAGTGCTGTCAAACGATTAAAATATTTAATCGCATTAATGTAGTTAACTCGCTGTTAATCGCAATTAATCGCACATTTTTATCTATTCTAAATGTCTCTTGATTTCTTTTTGTACCTTTTTTTTCTCATTTTAATGCTCTTATCAACGTGGAAAAATGGATCGGCTTGCTTTGTGCAAATGTTTTTTTTTATTGAAAACGTGTTCAAATTCCCAATAAAAAAATTCTCACTTGGAGCAAATAATCTCTCACACAATGTAAAACTGTCCATCAATAAAAGGGTGAAAGAAATACTGATGAGGTCCTGATATTGACGTGGGGGCGAAGAATTCGCATCAGCTGTGTGTGTGTGCTTGGCGGTATAATCAAGCGGTATTTCAGACTGGACGTGCTGCGATGATGATAGCTCCGTTCACAACGACAAAACACACAGATCACTTTGGTCGTGTCAATGGAACCATTTGGCAAGTTTTTAGTAAAGTAAACTTTCCATTCAGAATCTTATTGGCATCCATTTCGGCGTCTCGCGCTCGTCATCCACTCAACGTAACGCTAACCAACTTTTTGGCCGGCTCGCAAGCCCAAACGAGTGTGTGCGGCGTGCCTGTTTTGTTTCCGGTCTAGCTAGATCCGCTTGTGCTTTGGTCCTCGCGTCCTCGCGCGGCGCAAGCTATTGAAATGGTTTCATAGCACAGCGCACGCCGCGTCCAGTTGCAAAAGCATGTGTAAGGCCAAAAAGACATTAATCGCGCGATAAAAATAAAATGGGTTTGCGTTAACGCCGTTAATAACTCGTTTAACTGACAGTCCTAATAATAACAAAAACTTGTACTATGTTTAAATATATAAAAAGTGTAAGCATCATGCAAGTGTATTTATTTGCACTTTAATTAAAATATATATTGGCTATATTTATAACAATGTGCTGAAAATTATCATTGATACAATGCATTGAAAGTAAACTTTCAAAATACATTTTTAAATATCCTGAAGTTGTATATTTTAAGTTAAATTTGAGAGAAATGTTTAAGTTTACTTGTAACACAAATAAAGTGTACTTCAATATCACTAATCAAGCATGTAATTAGTCCCTGCAGGCCTTCCAAGTACTCCCAAGTTGTTCCAATTTAGCACACAAATGTACACTAAATACACTTAAAAGTTGTGCTCTACTACTACATCGACAATGCCTTTAGAAGGCACAGCAGAAATGTGAAGTCGATCTGACTAAATCCCTAGGAGGAGTTCGTTAAAGTATGTAATGAGTAAATCATCCAAAAATGGCTTCTGTTTGAGTTTAGGGCATCGCTCCAAGAGACTTTTCTGTGCGTCTGGTAGTTGTACCATAGAAATTTCGTACATGTCGGTCAAACATGCGGCGGGGGCTGCTTTGTTAAAGGTCACTTCCTGTTGCCAGCAGGTGGCGCTATGACTGGGTGAATGTCGGCATGTAGATTTGTTCAGGGTGAGACTTGTCAAATGTGTAAAATTTCATGCAGATCTGGGCATTTATAGCCAAGTTACTACAACTTCCTGTTCCATGGTGAATCATCGACGCCACGGACACGCCCATCGACGAAAACGCGCAGATAGCATTTTGCTAAAATGAAAGATTAGTTAGAAAGAAAGAACTAATTAATTTCCAATATGATGGTTTAATAGAATTTAAAGCGCTAACAGAGAGTTTAATTTTTATAAAAATAGCGTTCTGGTCAGTTAGGGGTGTTGGAAGAATATCAACAAAAGTACTATGAATGTCAATATAGATTCGGCAAAGTCTATATGCAGCCTTGTTGCTCCAGGTAAAAGCTTTAGTATGGGAATTTGGTACTCCAGACATCAATTACATCAAGTCTCTCCATTAATTAAATAAACTTTGAATTAAGTGATGAGGATTGACCAGATGGTCATTTATCATTTATCAAGTCCCCACCTACAGGCTAACAAGCAAATACTTTGGATTTTTGTTCAGCTAGTATAATATATATAGTCTACTTTCTATAAACTCAAGAAAACTTGCTTTCTCAGACCTTGAATTAAAACCATAAATATTGGCCAAAATAATAAAGTTGAATTGAGATTAATGACATTACACAAACGAGCGACCATATGAATCACAGTCTATTGGCCCGTTTTTTAAATTTGTTTTAATTGACAAATAATTCAAATTTCAGATTTCAGCATACACCAAGAATGCATCACATGACAAATATCACAGAAAAAAACTAAATATTTCTTCGTTTTTTTTTTTTGTTTTGTTTTTGACAAGTTCAATGTTCATAGAATTTGGTAAATGTGTGGGCATTAATTAAAATTAAAACAATCCCTCCATAAAGTTTAACAACATTTCATTCTTTTTATTTTTAATTAATTTGAATGACTTCCTCAATGATTCAATCTCTATTAAGAATAGGCTACGATGCATTTTGCAAATTTTTTGTTTATGGATATAATATTTACCATGCAAAATGAAGAAATTCACCACATATTCATACAATTTGCTTCTCTGTGTGTGTAAGAACATTTAACATCTTTTAGAGATCATTTATAATTCACTTTTCTTGGGGCAAGAAGAAAATGGCTAACATTTTTCGATAAATCACATTTATAAAACAGATGAGCCAAGTCTTCCTCATTTACATTAAAAGAAAATTTGTTGTCAATGTCCATGAATTTGGATAACAAAGCTTTACACGGGTAGATTTTATGAAGTATTTTAAAGTGTCTGTTGGCGTGTTTTCGAACATTTACGGTTGCTGCTGATGACGTCACCACTCACTCGCGCCGTCTCCTCCGTCATTGAGTTTCAGTGCGCATGCGCTGCGAATAACGTCGCGCTGCTGAGGCGGGTTGTATTTCAGTGAACGAGAACGATTAACTGAACTAGTTTCAGCGTCGAGTCTTCTGAGGTGAGGAGAGCAGTGACACCGGGCGGACAGGTGTGGTCATTTAAGAGCGTTCCTTTCTATCTTGTCAATCCCTGGCCAGGACCGAGCGAGTGTTGGTGTCGCGGCTTGTTAAGACTTCTTGAGAAGATAAATGCTGTGTCCCAATGTGAAGGCTGCGTACTTCGAAGGCTGTAGACTTCGAAGGATGCAGTCTATTTGGCCTTCGAAGGACGCTTCATGTAGCCTTCGTGGGATTTCCTTATTGCGCAACCAGGTGTTCCCTATTACTGCTCCTGGCGCCAAGCAACGGAGCGAGAGTACAGCTGCCACCCTGATCATTCATTTAATGAAACTGAGTAAACAGCTATGGAGAAAGGCTATTGTCACTTTGTTGTTTTATATTTTACTGGAAATTTTATGTTTTATATTTTCCTGTCTTTAAATGAGGGGCAATATATATAAAATCACATAATTTCAATTCACATAACCACTAAAAAAATATTTCGAGTCATGTATTTTCGGCTCAAGAGTTTGCCAGAGCTGGTTTAATGCTAGAGGCTGCGTCCTGAATAGCCAGATTACACTGTAAACTGTTCAAATATTGGGTGTTAACCTACGTAAATATTGTAATGAAATAGCCTAAAAAATAATAATGATAAAACATAGGCACATATATAGCCAATAGCCTATTCAAATGTTAATCGTACCATACGATTTTGTAGGGTTTTCTTTTTATTGTCTAAATGGACCATGGTGAATATATTTATACAGGCTGTCAATCCTATTTGAATATTTTAAACCAAATATAAAAAGTCCAGTGCAAACGTCGTTACTCCCGCTCGTCGTTGTCAGCTGTCAGTCACAGTTGCTAGGCGACAAGAACAATCCTCCGCAGGCTAGACCGGTCCGAGCGCTTCAGGTGCGCACTTTCATATGGGACGAAGTTGAAGTTAGCAACAATTTGTTAATATTTTGACAATGGACCAACAATTTGTTACTTTAATTTTTAAAATAACCAGTGGGAGAATGTAAGGAACTTCATACTGCGATAGTATTCATGTACAAATGTGAAGTAGCCTACCCTTTTCCCTCACAGGACCACAACACTACACATTTTACATTAAACGACACAAAACAAAAGTATATTATAGTTTAAATGTATTAACCTTGCAAACACTCACAGACCCTTACAAAAATAAACAAATATCCAGAGCCATGAATTCTCTTTTGTGTACACATGTAAAGTTGCATAATGAAATAATGAATAATAAAGAAATACAATGTACAAGAAATGCAATACAAGGCTATAAAAGCCGTTTTCGCATTTCCACTTGACAAAACCATGCAATGCTGACGAATGAGTTAAGATGAATAATAAGAAGAAAAAAAACGAAAAAATAAACTTTTGGCTCTTAACACTGGTTTCTCTGGCTATTTGAGTAAATAAAAACATAATACTTTTACATTTAAATGTGAATTTGCCGTCCACCACTGAACTCTCTGCCACCCTTTTTTTAAATAAAAATGCTGTCGTCACTCGCGCAATGATTTATGGGGTAGGATCGGGTAGGATAGTCCGCGAAGTGTCCATTTATGTATCGTTCCTTTCACGGGGAAATGAAGGGTGCATTTGGCGTCGCTTTTGAATTAGGTAAGCCTTCGTCGCGCTGCAATGACGCAACCGGCCTTCGAATACGGCCTTCGGAGGATGCATAACTGAATTGGGACAGCCTTCATCCCACCGCGATGACGCAATCGGCCTTTAAATGCGGCCTTCGCGGATGCAGCCTTTGAATTGGGACGTACTTCGTCGTGCGGCTGTGATGCAATCGGTCTTCAAATACGGCCAACCGTCCTTCAAATACGGACTTCGGAGGATGCAGCCTTCACATTGGGACACAGCTAAAGAATTATTGTGACTGTCTAAACACCGTATTTCCTCCTTTATTGGTACTCCTTATTTAGGAGTGTAACACACGGTCACCCATAGCATGTCTATTTGACATCTGCAGGAAACGTCCTATAGATGTCTTGCAAATGAGCAAACACTCTTAAAAATACGTCTTCCAGATGTAAATAGGACATCAAACAACCTTGTGCCATCTGGGAAATTTTACATCTCATGTGTTGGGAAAAGTGAGAAGAGACTTCGGCAAAAGGCGGATTTGAA